AAGGAAGGTAAAGAAAAGCCTCCAATCCAGGAGTCACATTTGCTTTAGCAAAGACTTCATTTGTCATTTATCTTATTCTGAACTCACTGAAGAATTGTAGAGGCTGCTGTGATCTACAGCCAACTAGATCAGAGTCAGAAAATAGCAAAGGAAAAATGGTTAGTTGTCTAACAGATGGAGCGATTAACTACACTAGGGGAATCCAGTAAAAGCAAGTAAGAATAACTAGCAGGGAGCATGGCTTTCAAGGGCATTTAACAGGAAACCTGGCTTTTTTGGCTGTTTCTGTATATCTAAATTGATATTTTATTCTAGTTCCTTTCTCTTCCCTGTTACCTCTTCTATTATTTCAAATCCTTGTCTTCATGTGGAAAACCCAGAAAAAGTACTTATTTCTGAGTGCAAGAAAATGGAAAATACTCTAGGTTTCTGGGCAAGGGTTCAAAATGATATTAAATATTTTAATAATAAGCCCTAAAAATTGAACTGGGTCCCATGGTGCTGTCAGTCAAGACCTTGATTTGTCTGACCATCTGCTTATTTTCCTGGTCTTGCTGTCATACGTCTACCAAATGAAAAATATGATCTTTTGGGGCACTGTCTATCTGCAGCTCTTGCTAATTTCAAGATTTATGGAGATTAACTATTTTGTACATCAGACAAAAATGTCTCCTAGAATTGATAACTGAGCAAACACAAAGATTCACAAATACAGTATTTCGTACACATATACTGGCAATGGAGGGGCATGCCTTTATGATTATTAAAATGATAAATTTTTATTTATAAAATAATTGTAAAATTAGCGTATAAACAATTGCCCAAACTACAACTCGATGTAACTCAACATTTTCCAGTCAAGCAGAAAAACATTAAAAGATGTAAAAATTTCCCAAATACAGTCAGGTTCTTGAATGTTAATCAAAAGTTTCACCTGATTTTAAAACCATTAGAAACTTCTGCAGAGGGGTATTTCATAGCAATACTTACATTGCACAATTTTCCAGCAGACTGTTTCAAGTCATGCAACAAGCCATCAAAACAGATACTGCACTGGGAAGCAGAATATTTGGATTCTACTTCTAGGTCTAGGCGAGACCTTAGATAAATCATTAAGCTCTTTCCCTTCATGCTCATTGTCTGTTTTGCCTACTACAGTTGTAGCAATCACGTGCTTCTGCAATGACAATAGGCATTCCAAACTGGCTAGAGCCCATATTTTCTCATTTGACATCAGTTGTATCAGTAAAACAGGTATCAAGTGCTGATGCAAAGGCAAAAATCTGTAGCTGCCTGGCCATCAAAAAGCAATCTGAGGTTATGCAGTATATTTAACATACTCTGTTGCAAGATTTGGTGACATAATCCTTTCTTAATGTGTGCACATGCACAATATGCAACACAGAATAATCTTGTATCTCATAGCATTTACATGCTCTGCAATTCAAAGAGTTCCAACTTTTCTGTAGGATAATCTATTTTGATATAACAGTTTTACTGTGAGAAAAGATGGAAATTATAGTCCGACACAGAAACGATGTCTACTGAAGAGAAAAAAATATGCTTTATAAGAAAAAAAAAAATCAGACTTGTATGCGCTTTATATATTATCTTCTGATTAGTTGTTAAAGCAACAATCAAAAGAAACATCTCGAGACAGAACTGAGATTATGAAGTTGAAACAGTGAGAAAAGACCAGAATTCACTAGGTACAAGGAAATGTTTTGTCAGCACCTGGTTCTCCTCTCATCATATGTTGAAACAAAGTAGTCCTGAGATCAACAAGAAGAGAATATCACAAATACTGTCCAAATATATAAAGGAAATTCCAGTGTTGGCAGACTAGCATATATCTGAGATTTCCTCAGAAGCAAAAACACCACATAAAAGGAAAAATGATCTTTGTATTAAAAAAAAAAAACACAATGCTCTTTAACTTGAGAAAGAACCCTCCAAATAATGGTATAGTTGGCAGCATGAAAAATGTTAGCAGATATTATAAGGATCTTTTTCTACTGCACTTATGATTTGCCATCCTCCTGCCTGTCAAGAGCCAATCAAAACTCTCAGAACCTTTCATAAACTTCTGGAGCCTGCCATGAACTTTTCTGAGGTTCCTCAGACTCAAGTACTTTTTTCCAGACAGTGGATGCTTACGTGGGCCCATTGTGACAAACAGAGGAGTGTATTTATGAGTGACTATAGAGTTACATAACAAATACGCATATTTTGCGTCACATGAGGGAAAGTAAACACATTGGTTCTGTGAGATAGGAATATCAGCTTGCATGGTAACGGGAAGCAGACTTAAAGTGGCCATAACTGCCCAGGGCAAGAGCTGGGTACCACTGGTGTATAAACAGTACAGCAGTAGAAAGGTAAAAAACCCTGCAATCTTAGATCACGCCAAATTACAGAATTTTGTTTTCTGTGAAACTATATTCATGAAAAGGTACTACAAGAAAAGACAAAGTTAAAGAAAGTTATAAAGAGCAGGAGCTAGCTAGAGCCTGCCTTTTTGAATATGCATCCCTCCTACTACAAGCTGGCAAGTGAACTTTTCTCCCAGTATGGTGTACCACATGCATGTTTTTCACTGCTGTAGTTTCCTGGAATAGCTCTGCATACAGTGAGATATGGGACACTGGCAAAGGAAGAAGGAGGTCACATTCACAGGAATCCCAAAGTAGCTTAAGTTCTGTTTAAAATGCTGTCCATCTATATTCCTGACACTGGTCCAGCTAATGCGAGAAGAAAAAGGTAGCATCCAATCCACTTCTTATTTTTTTAAAATAACCCTTGAAGTTATTTTTAAACAACCTTTAAATAACCTTCTTTACCATGGCACATAGTATTCCCCTTTATCACAGCAGACAGTACAAGGATTTTGTCCTTTCAAAGATTGTTGGGAAACATAAATGGCCTCCTGTTGCAAGGTTTCCCCATTACTTATCCAGTTTACTACTGAATCCTAATTTCCTAACATATGCTGTTAAGATATTGTATAACATTTAATCACACATGACATTGTTAATATATATTTGCAATAACTACCTATTTCCTTTCTTTTTTATGAAAATGTATTTTTCAATGAAAATAAAGACATATTATCATAACTGAAAAAGTAATGTAATTGCGCAATGTAGACCTAAATATACAATACTTCATGAACAGTGTTATGTCTGTGTACAATTCAGGCATTATATTAACTCAAACTTGTTTGTTTTTTGTTTGGTTTTTTTTTTTTTTTTTTTTTTTTTCATATGATCATCATTTCTGCAAAGAAAACTGCACAGAGAGAAGGTGACTGCCTGGAGAATTTCCTCATTTTTACAAAAAGTATCTTTATTTGAGGAGAATATGGACAATACAAAACTTTCAAAAAGAAATTCTGAAATTAAGTTGACATGAGTATCTGGGAAATTGATGTCTTATCCACCATACATAACATTTCAAGGAAGTTCAATTAGTGTAAAATGCCAGTCAAACTCATCTCAAGACTACTTTCTATTTCAAGCCTATATTCTTGATACCTATATTTTATAGCTTCTGGTTAACATTATGAATGTGCTGAAGCATCCCAGTATGTAGTAAATGTGTTGCAAAACAGTAAGACTAACAATGGCTGCCGGAGCAGCCAAGTTGGGACTGATAGGTTATGTGGATAATTGTACCTTTAGCAGGCTTCTATAAGGAGATAGAACCTGACCTCAAGTGAAGAAGGTGCTTCCATTATCTAGCTCCGATTGATTCGATAAGGAACATTCTGGGACAATTAGTTGGCTAAAACGGAAAGAATTTCAAGTTCCTCCTACTTCCCCGTAGAAGGAGAAGCAAAGCACAGACATTAAACTCAAAAAAGGAACAAAACTGACAAAGAGGCTTAACAGAATGTCATAGGAGAGAAAGATTTAGTGCTTTTAAGGACCAGTAAGGAAGGGAAAAGCAGGAAGATCAGAAGTGCAAACCAGAAAAAAAGCTCATCTGGAGCAGTCTGATCAGTATCCTCCTCAGAACTGTATTTCCAACAACTGCTTTAATTGAAGCCTTCTCTTCCATTAAGTACGTCATCGCACTGGTGCTATTAATGTATCCCCATGCCAAAGTTCAAAATACACTGAAAGCATTCTTTAGAAAGTCAGTTAATAAGCAGGGTACAAAAAAAGAAAGTTAGCTTATCCTAAAATAAGTTGTCAAAGATAAATACAGAATACAGATTCTAGAAGATGCTGTAAACCATTTGGATAACGGATTAACTTGCAACAAGTAAAATTTCTTAGGTGAATTACATAAGAAGTGGAATAACTAATACATAAACACACACATATACATGACTTAGAAGACATACACTAAGAATAAATACAACCAGCAAAGTAAACAATAGGTGATGTTAAATCTTTTTGTGTTTTTTGGCAATAGCAGAAGAACATGACAATGGTGACAATCTATAAGGGGGACTTCTCTTAGCAAATATAACAAAAAGAATAGGCCCAAAACAGTCGAAAAAGGAAAAGGTACACAGTCTGTACCATGACTTTTAAGAAAAGCTTTCTATCATTTACTTGTAGAGAATGTGCCAAACCACATTACTGTTAATCCCAAAGTACAAACACATTCATGTATATTTCAGTTCTCGAGCAAATTAATCTTTTGTTCTAAACATTTCTTTAATGCAGCTTCCGCACTACAATGTTTCAACACAAAAGGATATTCTAATGCAGAAAGGTTGAAAATCCTGTTTATTAGGTTACCTGCTTCATCTGCTTCTCTTCTGATAACCTGCAGAGACCCAAGTGAGAAGTTCTAAATCATAGTAAGGATGTGTTTGAATGAGCTCATGGGTTTGCATCAGTTCCTGTTTAAAGTGTTTTCCACATTATTCTTTGAAGGCTGAACGATCAATAATTAAAACACATAAATAACAAAAAAAGAATCTGATTGTTGTTACTTCCTGTTATCTACATATTATGTATCTATTGCTATTCACCAAGCACACATACCATTGCCACTGCAGATGATAGTTTTACAGAACTCCAGTCAAACCACGTTAACTTGCAGCAGTACTCCAGCACTGTAAGAGAAAGGTATAATGATGCAGAAGTTAGAACATACCACAAAAGAGATTTAGCTTTAGCATTCATTAATGCCTCTGACTTTCGCCTTCCCTACACCCTAGTTTCTTACCATGAATAAAACATTAATAGTGACCATCATTGCAGTTTCTCTATACGTACCAAGAAAATGCTCTTTCTAGCACAAACATATAATGTATTTTTATCCTATAAAACCTTACAACTCAAGGATCTCCTTTATGAAGTTTCATCATATTTAGAACTGATGATAAAGTCACAGCAAAATGTGTGTGCTGGAATCAAAAAAAAAAAAATAAAAATCAAATATTATTTGTGATATGATGTAATAAGACACACTGCCCATGTTTAGGTGTAGCTGCAAACTTCTCTAGTAACTGTATTTGTAAAATAGTCAAAAACAGGACTTCTAAAGCCATCATTAAAAAAAACAACTTCAGAAAGGAAGACACCATTAATTATTCCATTTTCTAAAATACTGAAAATCTCAAACGAGTCCAGTAGCTAGTGATTTTAATTCTTCATGTCAGAATTTAGAAGCACACAGAAAAGTATTTGGTGTTTGTTGACTTTCAATAATTGAGATTTCTTTCTTCTGGAACCTGGGAAACAGACTCTATTCATGTGCTTTGTTCCTGATCCCCATTTTTGGCTGGCACAATTTCAACAGTGCATCTCTCACTGACAAGCTCCTTCATACTGATGAGAAAGAAAGTTGCAGTTTTCCTTTTTATTTTTCAGGTCTCCTTATGCTTATTTAATGAAGCATAAATATGGATGGCATCTTCCTCCTTACATCAGTTGAAAACATACAAAAATACATTCAGCTGCAAAAGCGTCTCTTTTTTAACCAGTCTTGAAATAGTTCCTTTGGTTTTCATTATCATAGAGACTTACACTTCCCTCATACACGCAAGTTGCTCAATCTCTGAAACAATCTATCCACATAAATTCATCACACTGATTTCAGAAAAAGTGTAAGAAAAAACACGTACAGCACTCAGATCAAGAAAATCTTTTCACGTAGTAAAGGCATAAAGATTCATATAATTATTCTTTCACTTCATTTCCATTTCTTATTAGAAGAACGTTCAATATTATTTTTTATACGTTGTTCTTTCCTCTTTAACTATAATTAACTCTACAAAGAGTAAGCCACCTAGCCGTGCATGAAATCAGCCATACCTAACAGATAACTTCACCTAAACACTCCTGACAGATTTCTAGTCCTAGAAATCCCAGAGGACAGGGAAAAAGTTAATTGTCTTCTTCACAGAAGTACTATGCAGTGATCTGCCAAAGGACATTCCTGTTTATCCATTTAACTATCAGTGTATGCTGCAAACTGGCCTGTAACATTCCCCTCCTCCTATCCCATCTCTTACTGGGTATGTCATCCTCCTTCTTCAGCTCACCCTTGACTTTTGCCTTTTCTTTTGCCTTCTTAGTGTTGGGATTTTTTGTCTTTTTTTAGGGTCATTTACCCAAGTGTTCTGAAGGTGGAGAGAAGGTGGTATATAACTGGAGTAACCAAGAAAAGATGTCTGCCACCAACAGGCAAACACTGACACGCAGGTCCATGCACAATACCTGACTACAGAAATTATTCAGCTCGGTTTGAGTAACGTGACAAATTTTGCTGGTATTGAATAGGCAAACCTATTCCTATACTGATATCCAGAACAACTTTTTTATGTTTTACAGCCTTAGTTGTTTGTGATCTCTAAAAGCATCAGATACTTACTATTTGCTCTTCTTGCAGATTCTATCATAAAAGTATTAAGTATTCTCAAATTTCTGCATACATTCCGACCCAGGAAAAAACTTCCATATTAATGGCATGCTTACACACCTATAGACACAGACCACCAGGCACCAGCTCCACCCATGCTCCAGATCACTCTAAGTCCCCCTCAAACCAGAAACCATACCACAACCTTAACGTGACGCGACGCTGAGCCTGCACTCACACACTGTCAGGGAGCAGCAGGAGCAGGCCTGTTCCAGCAGGAGGTGAGTGACCCCAACACACACCAGCCCAGCAGCCTCGCCAACAAAGACATAGTTCCACAGCATCCAAGCAGGGAAGGACTGGCCAGAGCTTAAATGGAGCTCCCAGGTCAGGACGAGGGGGGTGGGTGGAGGTCCCAGGTGAGGCTGATCAGAGCAATTAAGGGCTATCATCGTCAGTAGGCTCCTGACCTATACCTACTTTTCTGGCTACAGTAGACTTCTAGCTGGCTGACTCAGAGTGTAGATGAACAACCCTACACCAGTTTGTGGTAAATATCCCCTTTATTAAACAGAGGATGTATGTATCGTATTCTCTGAACATGTTTTGCATTTAGACTTATGAAATATTCAGATTAATTTAAAAAATATTTATTTGTAGTACACTGATCTCTGTCTGCTTTTTTAAAGGATCATAAAGGCAGTTATTAATAGAAGTGACTGAACTGTAGACATTATAGGTTTTTCAAGAAAAACATGCTGGAATTTCAACTTAAATTTACTCATTGTAGGACCTCCTTATACTTCAGAGACTATATCAATTATCTTCACAAGCTATGAAGTTTGGTATCTAAGCTTGTAAAACTGATATAATGATTCCTAAACAGGAAAAAAAAATAGATTTTATAAGCTAGAATCTAATCATGTTAGAATGATTCACCCTCAGCAGAAAACTTCTGCTTTCATAGAAGTGAGGAAGTAGTCTTATGAAATATATGTGTATACTTTTATTTGGGCCTATCTTCAAGCATTACTATGTATATATGTCCACATGTAACATTTTGGCTTGTTTACACATGCAGATATATTGAAAAAGACCTTTATTTGTTAGAAAGCTAGGTGGTGGCAATTGTGGAAATCAGTATGTGCATCTTATTTTACATGTTCTTGGAATGCATCTTTTATAAGTTTATAGGCCAAGACCAAAGCAAACTTCTGCATTAAGTCATGCAAGAAGCACTACACTATATTCATGTAATATAGAACTAGTTCCTTAGTATAAACTGTTTGTTTTTCAGTTCACACATAGATCCAACAAAGTGCTCCTATAAAAAACTGGGTTACCATATCCAATGAAGAAGTCAGCAATGTTAATCATGTTTGTTAGATTACAGCTGAAATACAACACGGAATATTGCATCTGTCTGAGAAAAATATCAGAAAGAACACAAGCATGTCACCATCATTTAAAGGAGGAGAAAATAAATTAAGTGCATACTTACTGTTTCTATGTGGAAGAACAGGAACAGAGAAATTTAAAATATTTCTGTGTATTGTATATACAAGCATACAAATAGAAATTTTAGATTTGTGCCTTTCAGATTCATTGTTTTTTCAACTTTTTTCCTTTGGAAGGATTAAGAAAGGGAGACAAGGGAAACTATAAAACTTTAAACTCATTTTTGTCTATTCAATTTATACCAGAATAAAGGAAAATACTACTAAATCTTCTTGTTCATTCATACACAGGCTCTTTTGTACATAGTTCTTAAAACTGTTTTATTTGTAGCACTACATGCTTTTTCTAGAATTTACCAGAGACAAAACTTTTATGTATGTCAGAATAAGAAACTGCAGCTATAATACTTTCTCATATCACTAATAGTTTAAATAGACATTTGTTTAAGAGTCCCACCATTTTCAGAAATATAGGCTGTACTACTGCTCACAAAAATAGAAAAGAAGTGTTTAATTGGAAAAGCAAACTCTGTGCAAAAAAAAAAAAGATAAAAACAAACAAACAAAAAAAAAAAACAAAAACCAAAACAAAACACTACCACACATCTACATTTAGAGTGAAGTCGATGTCATAAAAAATACAAAACTACAATCATCTTGTGTGACTCTTAAGCCATAATCCATGTCTGAAGGCATATCCATATTTCAGCAAGTTTATGCTGTACTAAGCAGAAACATGAAGCTTCCAGTTCCAAGATTTAATAGTAAAATATCTTAAAATTAATAGTGAACTATGTAGTGCATTTCTTTTGCAAAGTTCATACAGAAAAGTTATTAGGATATGCTTCTGGCACAAATACCATCTGCAAAAGACTGTCTTTTGATCAGTTACTCCTAGTTTTTAGTATTCTGGCTTTGTTGATGTCCTTCAGCAATTCGTCTAATTCAGAACAGGCAGTCATGTACGTGCCTGCAGGAGAACGGGAGCTCCTCCACACCTGCAGGAAGAGAAGCATCTGTAGCTAACATTGGTTCTGTACCCGGAGCACGGGTGCAACCAAAGTCTGTCAGTAGTGAACAGAAAGGGGAGTTCCTCCAGACTATTTATTTTTTTTTATTCTTGGCTGAAAAGTCATTATTACTCCAAGTAAATGGATAGTATAGCTCAGTTAGATTGTTCAAAGCAGCCACCCTAAATTTTTTCTATGGAGACATGTAAAGTGCAGTTACAGCTGTAAAAACAGCCAATGGCTAGAAAGTAAGCTTGACTATGGAAAAAAAAAGTATGTTGAAAGGCCAAATCCAAAATCTTAACACCTTTGTTTTGCTGAATTCCTTCTGCGTGCTAAACTCAGACACAGAGGTTACATCAGTCTCTCCTAATATTTTCCCTCCATTCTGCATTTAAAACCCTCACGAATTCATATGTAAGAATTCAGTAGCTTCCAAACTTTTTCTAAAAAAGAAGCTCAGTTAATCAAGTAATGCTTTTAGCAAGATACAGGGAAACAATGAAATGTTGATACTGTGACTGCCCAGCATTACCCTAATCAATGATTTAATATCTTTAGCTAAAACAAATGGAAGAATTTTCTCTAGGAAGATACCACTGGTACACTCCATCAGTGTTTTTACTTGCCAGGATATTCTCTAATTTGAGTGCAAAGATATTATCAATTTGATATATTTGCTCATCTATTTTAAACTTTAAAAGAAAAAAAAACAGGAAGCCTATCCACTTATCAGAGTGCCACCTTTCTTTAATGAAGGATATTTCAATCTCCCA